TTATTATTATTTTTTCAAATTGGTCCTACAAACTTGAAATTCACCTCAAATGTGCAGAAGTTCTCAGCTAGCAATAAAATGCAAATTTTTTTTTACGCGGGAAGCCTGTTAAAGCTGCACGCAGCTCTAGTTACTAATGAATTTCAATGGTCATAACGTTAAGCATTGGCTTCTGGTGTATGACAGATTTTATTCATGTTATTTAAAGTTTTGTTAAGTCAGCATATTAAGGAAGGTTCATCACTTGCAAAAATGTGATGTTTGTGAATATCAGCTTGCAGGATGGCTATTGATCTTTATTGGCTTTTAGTCAATTCCACAAAATTAAGTGTTGTTCTTAGACTCAACCCAATCACATTGTGGTTTGAAATAGCAAAGCTTGCTTATCAGTTGTAATTGAGATTTATTACATGAGAATATTTCTTTTGATAATGATTCCAACTCCTTTATTGAATTGTTTTCAAGTTTGTGTGCAACAATAATGATTGATGAATTCTGATTGCTTCAAGATAAATTTTTGGTAAGAATTTGATAACAAGCAATAAGCATACTAATTATTAAGGACTATATTATCACAAATTCTATATTGCCGTAATGTAGTCTTTATTTGTTATAAGACGACGCACTATCAACGGTTGTTGAAATTTATATTTCATTTTGAAAATACATACAATATGTTCATGAAGTCTTCAAATTTTCCAAAGATGGATTCTCAATTCCATTATAGTTTGTTGACCATTGCGGGTTCATTAGATGAAGAAAAAACTTATTAAATAAACGCTGTTTAAAAACGAACCTGGTTGAGATACATTGGGAACTCACTTCCTATCAAAATTGTTTATAACAGGATTATATGAACACACCGTACATTAGTGCTATGATAACATGTGGTAAAGAGTTGGGTGAATTAAACCCTAAATGTATCCTCATCGATTATAAATGATGCAATCCACACCTTGAAATGGCTGCAGAGTGGTACAATGAGTCATTCACCTTTTCATGGGGTCAGCCTCAGCAGGGTAACTGGGTTATTTATTAGTTAATGTTTTACGAGAAATCACTTTATATTGCTTCATAATTTGGTACAGGTGGCACGCAATTTTTTATAATAAATTTTAACGGCAAATTTTTTACGGCCTAATAAAATTCAAGCATGTAAGGTTTGATTCATGATTGTGCATTGCTTGGCTCGTATAAACTAAATAAATTTCCATTTCTAATCCGGTTGTTTGATACATGTAAGCCGTCTGCAACAAAGTAAATAATTGTCCTTGTACAGTGCATGTTAGGTATATATGCTTAGGTCACACTACATTGATACGATTTAAAGAGATTTTAGAAATTTATCATCAAGGCTTTTGTGCGTTCTTCTGTGCACTTTGGACTTTTCGAGGACAACTGTTTTTTCTGTAAGTATAGATCATATTTCTCTTTCATATCTAATATCACCTTCTTATCTATCACTTGTTCTCTTTGTTTTTTATGGTCGACTTGCTATTCTTAGTTTAAAAGGTTCAGTTCTCAGAGAATTATTTCACATTTCAGGCATTGAGCTCAGGCTATAAATATCTCCCAAAAACAATCTTTTATTTTGAGAACGGGAGAAAAGTTCACATAAACTTAGGAAAAGTGGTAAACAACTTGAAAATAAAATTGTGTGAGAGCTTAATGCTCAGGTTTATATGGCGGTTGCTGATAAAGAATGGGGTGTACGTGTACTGTTAATATGAAATAGTCTAATTTAATTATTTTAGCTAAAATTTTAGTTTTTGAAAAATGTGAAGACTTATTTAAAATTCTTACTTCAATAATCTAGTTTACTATTAAGAAATTGCTTAAATTTGATATGCAACAAAAACAAGTAGCTTCGTTATTCAATGCAAAAACAAAGTTTTTCATATATTTTATTGACTCATTTTTGTTCAATGGTGACATCAATTATTAGTTTAATTCATCAGTCAATGAAGAAATAGTATGATGTCATATGAGTGTTCAAATGATATATAGTATGGTAATGCAGTATCAATCACTATGCGCTGATTTTAATTGACTGGTTATAAGTCAGAATTTTTATAGGCTATTTGAAGATGTTGCATATGGCTCACTTATGCCCATGGTAGTAAATCTGAATCATGCTTGTATGTAATAACCATGTCATGAATAAGAGTATTTTTAGCATGGTGGTCATCATATTGGAAGGACTTATTTTAGATAACACCTCACGAGGTATGATGATACCTTTACATTTAGTCAATTCGACAGGCTTGATACAATTTTTTTTTATCCCAGCAATGTGACAAGTAGTTTCTATCGACCTTTGGAATAGCATGGTGTGATTTTAGATTTAGATAGACATTACACTAGCCTGATTGATTATGAGTGTTATTATAGTTCATTAATACGCTTGTAGTAAATTTAACAGACAATTGCAGCGTAGAGAAATTATAATGTATAAAGAAGTGGTATTTGTATTTTGAGTTAGTCATAATTCTAATGCCTATGGATGGTTATGTTTTGTTCATCTTATTTTAGCATTGTATTTTAAATTAGTTCTATTATTATATCTTGCAGATATTTCTCTTTGGGGCAGCGTTTACTGACACTTATTTTCTCTGTTCATAACCATGTCTAAGTGGGATCACATGCCATTAATGAAACAGTTTATTTCATGTCTATATAATTGTATGATATAGCCTTAATATATCATATCCATTACTATCAATTATGCAATAAAGCCCGTCCTTGAGATTTGTTTGTAGTAACATCTAATTGTTTTGGAATTATATAGTATTGATCTGAGAGCCTGCGTTAAAGATATTATGTCTATCGTACATTGATTACAAAATTATCACAGCACATTAACAAGCATTAGACAGTTGCTTGCTCACTGTTTTAGCATGTGAGACTAGGACTGGTATTTTGAAGAGACAATTGAATAGACATATGAATATTGAATTTGAGACTGTTGATTGTTGAAATAAGATTTCTATGTCAGTTCTGATTCATGTACCAAAAGTAAGTGTTGATGCGTTGCACAATTACAGAGAATTAATGTGTATTGAGGTTTGATTGATTGACAACCTTTTTTGTTTGTAATTTCCTATCCGTAAATACGTAGCAGCCTAGTCATGATTTTTCTGCCTTGAATAATTTAGCCTATAAATACTTTAATTCAACTAAACGTATAGTCATACATAATAATTTGACGTCTTGTGTCTTGTATGTTAATTGTGATGTTATGTATGGTATGTCTTATCACATTTTTCTATTTTAAAACCATGTTAATATAGTACATATGGATATGTTGCTGCCTAGAGATGGGCAATATAGAATACCGAATCCGGAGGATTCGAATCCCAAAGTATTCGAATCCAACAGGATCCGATAACAGGATTCGGTTTCCGCCTCTTCGGCGCCATGCGTAGATTTTTGCATTTCGGGTTTCTAAATATCAATTAAAGACGAGCGTTTTTCTCGCGTGGAAATCTCTCTCGTTTAACTAGACTTGCGTCTGCTCGGAACGAACCCGTAAAATCGGTAAACTTCAAACACTGTAATCTCAATCGGCGTATTCTGGACAGGAAGTCGGCGAAGTACATCTCAAGACTCGTTATTGCACCATTTTTGCGTTTTCGCCGGGCGTCAATTTTTGTATTTCGGATTTCTAATTCATCAATTAAAGACGAGCGTTCTTTCTCGCGTGGAAATTTCTCTCGTTTAATTAAACTTGCCTAATCGCAAAGAACCCGTAAAATCGGTAAACATCAAACACAGTAATCTCAATCGGCGTATTCTGGACAAGAAGTCGTGAAGTACACCTTACGACGAAGACTCGTTATTGCACCATTTTTTGCGTTTTCCTGCTTTGCTATCTAGCGAGGGTTTAATAATAATAATTATTTGTGCCGACTTACTGGCGATATTACGATAATCTGATTGCAACAATCTTCAATTGTTTACAGGCGTGCCTGCTTCATTTTACTTTACTGTAAATGATTTTCCGCGACCGGCGAGTTTTCCCCAGAAAATGATGCATGTAAATCAAAAGCCAGGCGTAAAATGTTATGATATTACTTGCGATTAATTTAAATCAAATATTATTTTGGAATAATTTTATTACTTTTATTACACCAGTTTCCGAAATACAAAGTTATATCGCATAACACGACGATCTGTCGCATTTAAATTTCACTCCCAAAAGATTACATATCTTTCGGTCCGTTTCTATCGTTCAAGATAGACGCACGTTTGATCGAGTATCTGTAGTAATTTTATTCGCCGATAAACTTAAAAAAAAGATGCCGCAACTGGCGAAAATAGTTACGTATTGAGTTTGAGTAGAGCCAAGTCTGGGTAGATAATGATATGTAACAATAATAAAAGAAATTGAATTCGTCTTTAGATGATGTTAATTGTTAACTAATACCTAACTACGAAATCGCGTTTACGGGAACCTTGTTTTGCAGTTCTTGATCGCACAGAATAATAAGTTGATTTTAATTGATAGTGGTTAAATTTAATATTTTACACCGTGCATAGGTTGCAGTGGCCACACGCTGGTCCTGCATCTAATTAATTCTCAGCGGGTGTGTTTTAGTACACTCGACACTCTATAACATTAATAATGATTTAATGCCGTTTCATATCTATTTTTGTATTTAACCGCTTACTATTAAAGTGTTTGAAGCGTAATTTAGCATATAAGTATTTAGAGATTACATACATTTGGAACAATTGAAAGCAAAAATATTGTAATATTCTTAGATTTCATTGTCCTGGGAAATGCCTGTTTAGTATCAAATCAAATCCAATGTTAAGGACATTTCCAAATAAATAATACATTTATAATTTTTTGACATCTAAATCCAGCAATCAGGAAAATTCCCTCTATTTGAATAAGTATGAAAATAGAATAGGATTCGGTATTCTGGATTCGATTTAACTATTCTAGAATATTCTAGAATAGTAAATTATTCTACATTGCCCATCCCTATTGCTGCCTAAGCATTATACCATCTACCATCATGGAAAGCCCAACCAGTGAAGTCTTTATTACATAACAATAGTGAAAATTTCAAAATGGGTTGCCGAGTCAGCTCATGCTTAAAAAGGGGTGACTCAGCGAACAATGATTCAGAATTAACAAAACCTGATAATGTTGGCCAAGTTGACACAAATCGAACTATTCCTGTCAGATCTAGAGTGAAGTCACAGGTATATTGTTCAAATGAAAGTTTTTCTATGTATTGTGTATCTACGCTATTTGTGTATCTGTTTGTAAATCTTATTTAATTTTAATTAATAACTATCAGTAATCGATACAGAATTCTTGTTAAGCTTAACATCATTACAGGTTTTTGGTAGAAATTAAATTTTCTATTTTTTTATTTAGATACTGTACATCCAGCATTGTTTTGTTTAGTATTTTCAAATTTAAATATTGAATATGGCTTTGGTAATCATTTTGCGCTAAAGGAAAGCCAAATAGGAGACTACCATTGACCTAATCCACTACTGCTACTGTGTAGCAACTAGCAACCAATCTAGTCTAATACCACAATGGAAACAGCTAGCAATTCTTTTTTTTCGTAAGCTCTTATTGATGGTGAAGTTTCTAGTAATCCTTTACACATAATCATCTTAAATCAAGAATACTCGTTTTTCATCAGGGACTCAAAACCTTAATTTTATAGATAGCAAAGTATTGTAGGCAAGGTACAGTAATGAATGATATGATGATTTATGTTGATTTTATGGTTCCTTTTGTAGGCCTACTAACTGTTGAACTAGGGAACAGCGAATTCAAGTGATATCTTTTTTTTTATAATTTCATACATGTTTATACTTTATTATATTACACAACAGAATATTAAGATTTTTTATTTCAGGTATATCCTCTCTTGTTACATCCTCAATATTTACGATTAATTTTCTAGATTCGTCAAGTTGTCAACGGATCACTGGGACCTTGGAAAAGTATGCCGAATCATCTTCCTCCTGCACCGAATAGATTTCTCAGACATCAAGAAACTCTTCCCAATTTACCTGTTCCTCCTCTACAACAGACTTTACAGAAGTAAGGTTTATTTATTTGAATTAAGCTTGCTGGTAACAATAGTTTTGACCCAGAAAATGCACTTGTAATGTGTTGTGTTCAATAATTGATAAGCATAAGATTCATTACTCAATTTCGAAATATTACTTTTAAGGCATTTTCACGTCCTTGCTCTGAAAAAGACATTGATAGATAAGATCTATTATTTTTGTGAAGACTAAAATCTAGTTCCTCATTAGCTACACAACTTAAAATAATTTAAATGGTTAATAGCAATATTAGCAATTGAACTTGGTAGCATAAAACAAAGTTATCAGGGTTGGCTAATTTAATATTTGATCACACCTACATTTCCTAGCTGTTTATATTAATATATCAAACCAGAATCACATTCTAACTTTTAATAAAGTTAAACTATTTCTCAGGTACTTGCAAGCTATACAACCTCTTGTTGATGAAAATCAATTCAAAGCCACGGAATCAATTGTACAAGAATTTGGAAGGAAAGGGGGATCGGGTGAAAAATTACAAGAAAAGTTGGAACACAGAGCGAAAAAATTTGAAAATTGGGTAGGTTATTTATGAGTTTAATACTTTCACGCAAGCCTTTTCTAATCAAGGTCTTGAACCACTAATTGACGGTGATGACTAATAGCAACCACTGATTCACATATTAATCGTTTTTTATGATGTCGTGAGACTCGTGACAGAGATGACCAAAATATTAACCTGTAAGTGAATTTCAAACCAAAACCGTGAATGTTGGTATTTTGCAAAATATTTTCATTGAAACAATTACAAAGAAAAAAATGATTTTGAGCTGGTTTCCTAATCAAAGTTTAAAGCCATATTCATTGAAGTATTTGAATGAAATGTTAATAAGAAAAGATTTATTTTCCCTTTTTTTTTTAAAACAGTATTGTCCACTAGGGTTAAGGACCTGAATTTTCATAATTTAAGAGATGAATTTGGTTTTAATCAATGTTAGGGTTCGGTTCACGTTTTCTCAACTTCTTAGCGGCATTTTCTTTTTCCCAGCTTTCTGATTGGTGGTTGGATGCGGCATATCTTGACTTCCGAACTCCAGTCGTCGTCAATGTCAGTCCTTCTGTGACCTTTCCACGAGATGAGTTCAGAGGTCACAAAGGTCAGGTTGAGCACGCAGCTAAACTTATCTCTGGTGTGTTGGACTATAAGATAGACATTGATAAGTAAGTGGGTTATTCGGGATGAATGTTATATAGTTCATTTTATTGAAGCTATTTCATATCTACTCCTTTTTAGTTCTTTGACTAATTCCATTTGATCTTTTTCGAACCTAGTATGAATTTTTGTTCTAAATTATTCGTATGGCCAGATAAGACGTTTGATAAAGTTCTTCCTATGCTTTCTCATAGAAATGTATAGTATGTACCTATTTAGCTACCTTTAAGTAAAAGCACCAACAAATTTAAGTGCGAAACAAGATGTTTGGTTACTACTTATTCCACCATCAAGTTCCTACATCTGAAGTAAGTAACTGGTAAACTATTACTGTACCTGACATGGACTAAGAACTGGACAATAGGTCAGGGTTCGGCATATGAGGAGGGCATCCTATCGCCTTTCCTCTCCTCCATGATTAATATTAAAATGCTATTTTATAGGAATTTTAACTTTTTTCAGTGAAACACTTGCTGTTGAAAAACTTGGAAACCATCCATTGTGTATGGATCAATATTATAAAATCTTATCATCGTGCCGAATACCTGGAATTAAAAGTGATTTAGTTGAAAATTATGCAAGATCTTGGCTTCCTCCTCAACATATTGTTGTCGCAAAGAATAATCATGTGAGTATGTTCATTCAACTAACTTCCATATTGCTTTAAGGGTACTCCTGAAGTATGCGCACCAAGATATCGCACAACCTGAACCCTGACCTGGTACACAACCTGAGTTCAGGCTGTGCGACATCTTGGTGTGCATACTTCAGGAGGTCCTCTTTGAGTTTTTTAAGATTATTAAAGTTATCCATGTCGTGTAATCGTGGCTTGGGTTTACATATCGAATCACATGCAGGGTGGTTATGTAATGAAAATGTTAGATCTGGTTGTTAGTTCATGTTGGGCTATTACAGTATCCCCAGTGTCCAAGTCTATGCAAGTGGTCAAACTGAAAAGATAGTTCCTTTCTGATTTGAACTAGTAACCAAATGTCTAAATTAGAGGACGTTTTGCAATGTTATTAAACTTTATTCTCTGACTTTCCGATCTCTAGAGATAGAGATCAAATATTGCCAATCATCAGTTTAAAACATTGCTTCCTAAATGGTGGGGCTTGTCCCACAAGAGGGCGTAGAGAATTTTTTGAGGGGCCGTGAAGCTAATTAGAAATAAAAATATTTGTTAGTTTCAATCTTGCCAACCTCATTTTGGATGTTTACATTTTTTCATTGTTTCAGAGATTGCAGAGAGCTGTTGTGACAAACTTTGCTTGTTTTTAAAACTTTTCATTTATTTCACGTTCCATCCTATGTATTTTCAACGTGTTTTTGTATGAAACATACTTTCGCCTTACTATCTGTGATTTGTAGCATATTATTGTTCGCTAGGTATTTTTGATGTGGTGTGCGGGATTCTGCAAAGGGTGCGCGGCTTGAAAATTTAAAAACCACTGGTTTAAAAGTTTGAGAAACTTGGTTTTCATCCAATTCTTATCTTACTTGAAATTTTGATGCAGCTCAGCGGTTTCTAGTTATCATTTCTCTGTCATATCTAGTAGACTAGTATCTTCAACTTTCATATAAATTTTAAACTTTTTTCAGTTTTTCAAGCTGTCAGTGTACAATAGTGATGGATCCCCTCTTACTATTGATCAATTAGAAGAACAATTGAATACAATAGTAGCTGCAGCATCTAAGAAAGATATCGGTGTTGGAATACTGACTTCTGATGGAAGAAATAATTGGGCAAAAGCATCAAAAATATTACTGAAAGGTTAGTGATTAATATATTGTATATTACGGTAAATAAAAAATTGAGAGGCTTATGGAAACATGACACTGATATGACACTAAACTTGGAAAAGTTTATAACCTGAATTTTCCAAGCATATATTCACAGGTGTATATTTCTGTGTTTGTCATACTAATGTAAAGTTTTATCCGTATTCAAAATCAAATATCTTTTTATGATTATGGCATTACATAGGTACATTACATTATAGGTATTAGCTTTAAATTTATGTATTGAATTCATAACTATACCCCCAGCAAGACTGTAAAGTCTGATATTATTTACAACTCCAAACAAGTCATTTGAAAACAACCTTAACTCCCGACTTTACGTTGATGAAATGTTTACATTGGTCCCCTTCTCCAGGTCGAAGAATACCTTGACTCAGACTTCAGCTCGTATTAGCTCAGATTTTAAAAATGACGACTTAGACTTATGCAAACATTCTAGTAATTGACTTTTAAGAATGCTTCGAGTTTCTGGCAGAAATTCTGACTTCGATTATCAATATCAAAATTTTTAAATTTACGTGATTCTGAAAAATCCAAAATTATATCTCCAAATTTGGGTAATTTAGAATATGAGGAACTCCAACCCCAAATTCGCAGCCCCGATAGCAAGTATCAAGTGTTGCAATTTTTCCAATATTGTTAGATAAAGTTGTTTGTTTTGTCAAAACTGCCATGCTGTATATTAATTTAAGATTCAACAAACAAGCATTCGATACGAACCATCCAACGTTCAATATTCATGGTATGTTTGGACGAAGCAGTTCCAGCAGTTACTGAAGAGAAATGGACGACTGACATGGCACTCCGAGCACTGCATGGTGGTGGAAGCGAAATTAATTCAGCAAACAGATGGTTCGATAAAACACTGCAGTTTGTTATTTGTAAGTTCAATTGTACATATTTTACTAATGTTATAATAGGATGTCCACGAAGTCTTGAAATTTTTTAAAATTGGGAAATTAACGGGTATTTATCGATACCATAAATTGTCTTGGCCTTCACAGATGAAGAACATATACTTAAACAATTACTGAATAAAAAACAAACCTGGTTAATTAGGATATATTGAGAACTAAATTCATAACAAAATTGAAGTGGTAAAGAGACTTTATGGACACCCTGTATTTAATGGACTCCAAACTGCAATCTTGTAGGCAAAAAATGAATAATCGGACAAAAAAGGTATATAGGTTGTATGCTAACGTCTTATTTCCTATTTTCGTTATATTTTGAAAACAACTTTTAATTATAAATAATTTGAACATTATTATCACCCTTTTAAAAGTTTTAATATATCAATGTAGATTGAAACCAGGGCTGTAGAGGTAGGGCAAAATTTACTTCTGAGTGGATTCTGAGCCCTTATTACTTCAATTACATTTCCGACTTCGGGTTGAAGGAAATATTGATGTAATCCTTTTTTTATCATCTTCCGAAAATGCTAAGACAATTTAATTTTTTTTTTTTGAGTTTTCCTGACAATTTTACTTGACCATTAAAAATACTGAAATTCCGAATCCACAGCCTCGATTGAATTCTATAATTATAAAATGCTGCGAATAAATTGTTTTACCTAGTTTTGCTCAGTTAACACAGATACTTTCTACTGCATTACAGGCCCTGATGGAGGTGTGGGACTGACATATGAACATTCACCTGCAGAGGGGCCGCCCATTATGGCCCTTCTTGACCATGTTCATAAATATTGGTAAGGAATTTATTCAGTGTTTCATTCATTTAAGCTAGTGGTTCCCGAACCATGGTCAATTATGATTTAATATGGCCCGCCGAACTTGAAAGGAAATAGTTTAACACTTATTTTTTTGCATTATAGATACTGTCAATTGTTACACTATTATCGTTATATAAGTTTCAAATAATTATTTTAGTTTTGTGTAAAAAATAATTACTCTGGCTATTTATTCTCTCACACTTAGCATAAAAATTTTGTTCATCCAAATCAGAAATTTTTCTTTTTATAAACAGTAAACTCCCAATTCCTCATTAGCACTCGTATCATTTTCACTTCTTTCTCCACAGTGATTGACGAAACAAATAATTGTTGGCCATGAACCAAGCGGTTAGATCAGTGGGTGACTCGTGCCTAAATAATTTGCCATCCCAGGCTAAAAATCTTGCTTTCAAGCTGCGTTTTTTCACCTCGTAAAATATTTAGTTTTGGCCATCCCCGCTTGTCAGATATTGTTAGATGTCAGCCTTACATGACCTGGTAATATAGAGTCTCCTCCTGAGGGAAGGTGCGAAAACTATGCTTTTGCTTTGTTCAATATTTGATTTATTTTTATATCTTCACAGTAAGGATCCACCTGAACAACCCAAGATGCCTTTACTTGCTCTTGCTCGACCAATGAAACTTGAATTCAATGTTTCTTCCGATGTCAAGAGATCTATCGATACAGCAAGTGAAAATATTGATGCGTAAGTGACAATCTCATGGATAACTTAATAGCCTCTGTGTAAAATTAAAGTAATTCTAAATCATTTCTAATTTCTATTTAGTTTGGCTTTTTACTTAGCGATTTTAATCGGTAAGTATGTTGATAGGTATTTGTCTGTATGTCTGTTAGATGCACGCGATATCTCACGAAAACGAGATTGAATCCGCTCAAGATTTTGCATGTGCATTCATTTTATCTCGGACCAGAAGCCCATTGATTTTGGGCGAATTATGTCGTATAATTAGCGAGGTATTAATTAATTAGTGATGGGACACAAGGTGTCACTATGGAGTACGAGCGCTGTTTTGGGGATCCCCTAACTTCTCGATCGATAAGTCTTCGGTCTCTGACCGATATTCTCGTTTAAAACTTTAAAACCAACCCTGGAAAGAAATACTGGACATGGACGAGGTGTGCTCTATAATCCTAGTTACCAATTTGTCAACCACTAAGCTAATGCACTCTCAGAATTGCTGCTATGTTAAACTTTTCCTTTTTTATTCTGAAGTGTTGTTCGTGATGTACAGATGAATTGTATCAAGTTTGCAGATTTTGGAAAGAATTTCCCCAAGTCTTGCAAGATAAGTCCGGATGCATTTATTCAGGTAGTTTTCACTTTTTCTATACTTTTGCTTTCTTTTCACTAGAGTTGATTTTTAGTCATTTTAACCTGATTATTGATTGTCACTTTTGTCATACAATTTTGACCCTCAGTCAATCAACTTTGGGAAACACTGTTCTATACAGTGTTTTTCACATCTTCACTATAGACAAGGCTCTGGACCAGTGGCCAATAATGCATTTTGAACAAACTGACAACTTTCCTGTTCAACATACTATTGTTAGGTAATACCTTGGTACATTTAAACCGGCGCTACAGAAGTATGTGTACCAACAATATGGAGGTAACTAATTTTGCTCGCCTATTTTACATCAAGTTGTGTAAAGGGACGGAAACCTATGGGCAGGGGGTATATCCACTTGGCTAACACAGACAGTCCCTGAACTCGTATTAGAACTAAAATATGGGATGGAAGCCTATGGCCCTATGGGCCAAGTATATTCACTTGGCTAACACAGACAGTCTCCGAATCTGTAATGGAACTAAAAAAAGGAAAATTGGAATAAAATTATGGCCTAACCCTGACCTGGTATGCATACTACGGGATTACGGTACTTTTTAACCACCAGGAAATGATTTCATGAGCTGTAATGCGCTGGAAATTTAAAACTGCCAGTATAAATTGAATGCTTGAAGCAAGTTTGCAGTATCTGACTCAATCTTGATCATGTCGTGGGCTCGTGGCTGTTGCATCTAAATGAATAGATGCAGTGCAATCTGAACTAGAGCTAGTCAAAAAACATTCATGTGTATAATATTATTTGTGATCATTTTTAACTCATTCATTAAATATTAATCATTCCATATACACTGTTTACTATTTTACCTTAATATATTGGGCTATTGGAAAAGAAGGTTTAAAAGGCTGATTGTTTCACTGGCAGTTTATTAGATTGAATGTTTGATCACAGAAGTAGACTTCATTTTGATCATACCATGTTCACTGTGGATTTGCCTCCCAATCTGAAATAAAGGTTGTTGCGAGCACAACACTGTCGACGAAAAAGTTATTTTATGCTTTGTCATTGACTACATCATTAATGTCAAATATTAGTGACACTATTTGGTCTTCACAACAATTTGAGTACATGATTTCCAATTACTATTTACCTTAAGGTTGCTCTTCAACTTGCATACATGAAGATGTATCACCAGACTTGTGCAACATATGAAAGTGCTTCATTGCGTAGATTCCGACTTGGAAGAACAGACACGATAAGATCTTGCACTAATGCTTTGAAAGCATTTTCAGAAGCCATGTTAAATGACAATATGAATGTGAGTGCAGATTCATTTCATTTATTAAGTAACAAAGTGAATAAAAGACTCAAAGATTTATGATGAAACAGAAAATAGCACTTTGATCTAAATTAAATACTCTCTGACTCTGTGCAACAAGCACATTGGAATTCATTCATCCAAAGGAATATTTTTTGTGCTCCAGAAGTGTGTGTACCAATATGTAGCCTACTTTATATCAACTTGTATAAAGGGACTGAAGCCTATGGGCAGGGTGTATATTCACTTGGCTAAGACGGACAGTTCCCGTATTCCTAATAAAACTAAAATATTCCCAGTTCAACCGGAACGCTTGCGGAAAAATTTGAATAAAATTATGGCCTAACCCTAACCTGGTACATATACTACGGGAGTACCGCATTTTTTTATTTCAATTGTGAAAGAAACAGACTATTGTATTATTTATATGATGGCTATATTCCTGCGCTCCTGACAAGGCTTGATGCAAGCAGATGCTTACACCTATAAAAATGATGGAGGTCGTGAAATTTTGTATGAACAACTTGCTTCCACATGTATATGGGAATGAAAAGAAAGTAGCACAAAAGTTAGGCTTTTCCAATGAGCAGCGACTTATTTGACTCTAGGGAACAAAGAAAACTTTCGGTTTTGAATTTGACACTGGAGTCCAGTTAACAAAAAATCATATTTGATTGGCAGAATATAATATCATGCCTATAAATGTGTAATATTCTGCTATTAATTACCAATTCTCTCTTATTAACAGTCCACCAAAAAATCAGAACTTCTTCGTGAAGCTATTGCTTCCCACAGGAAATATACTTCAGATGCAATTGCTGGGGAAGCCATTGACAGACATTTGCTTGGGTTGAAACTCACTGCAATTGAAGCAAAGGAAAATGTTCCTGAGATATTTATGGATCCTACTTATGAAACTGCTATGCATTATAAACTTTCTACTAGTCAGGTAAAGAACACTTTTTGTCATAGTTATGTTGGCGGGAGAGGAGTCTCCAATTTTGCAAATACTCTGACATCAAGGGTTCAATCAAAGATAGATTGTTGTGGAACAAGTTTTCAAAGTATCTGGTTCTTTAGAACTACCTAGAGGTGATCGTGTTGACTAGGTATTGTAGAATTCTGTTTGGCTCACTAGTTTAGATTCCAAATAATCTGACTGAATTATTGGAAAAAAAATTTCAATTCTTAAGAAGCTCCCTTTTTGAGTAGTATTAGAATCTCGTTAGAGTAAAAACTTTTAACCTCTGATAAGTTGAATGCTTTGAAACGAATAATCATCTCTACAAAAGAAGTTACTAATTAGCCATATAATAGATGCCAGCTGTTCTGACACCTTCATCTAGATCTTGGGGTTCCCTGGCTGTTCTAGAAGGAATGGCACCAAATATACGGAGTGGTATAAATGTTAACAGTTAATAAATCAGTCAAATTACTTTGATTGAAGCAGGTACCACTTTTATTTCCGATTATAATTTGACATAAAACAAACTTTTCAATTTGAAATTGTTCATTTTCAGGTACCTTGTAAAGCAGATCTATGCATGGGGTTTGGTCCTGTGGTGCCAAATGGATATGGAGTCTGTTATAATCCAAAGGAAGAATATTTTCTATTTTCAATATCAGCATACAACAGTAGCCCTGAGACTGATGCATATAAATTCGGTGACCAATTATCTGAAGCATTAAACGATATGAAGAAGGTTCTACAAGAAGCTGATGCCCTGTCATCTAAATTGTAATCTTTTTTGTGGATTTGGTAAAAATATTCTTCACAACTGTTGTGGTCATCACTATCCCTTCAAAACATAATTTTAAAATAAAAGACAACATACATCCATTGTGACAAATTTACATATCTCTTTACAAATGACCTATTGGCCCTCAACTTCATTCGAGGGTATTATTACTCATTGATCTCGATCGGTAGGTATGTTGATAGGTATTTGTCTGTATTTGCGAGGTTGAATCTGCTCCAAATTTTGCATGTGCATTAATATCTCGGACCAGAAGTCTATTGATTTTAGATGAATTATGTCGTATAATTAGCGAGTCATTAATTAATTAGTGATGGGGACATGCGGTTCCGCTAGCGAAGGAATCGAAACGGTGAGATCGATAAGGCGGCGGCCTCTGATCGCCATCTAGTATTATTAAGTTACTGGGATTGATACTATCCAACATTTGGTCAACTTGATGCAAATAGACTAATCGACCCTAGAATTCGCCCAGAGTTGGTTTCCAGGTTCATTGTACAATTAATTTAGAATTGCTTAGGCCTACTTTCCTCGGACTCGTATTTGTCAAAATTTATGTTTCACCTTCATTGTGATTTAATATAGTGGGGGTTGGTCATTGGAAATGCTGAATAATACTTATTGTTTATTAGAAGTTTCAATTTATAATTGTCTAACAAGTAAAAGCAAGTATATTTTTCAATCTTGGTGTTTTTGTTCTCTTTTTTTAATTGATTAATTGCATCAGCCTGGGTGAAAATTTGTTTTGATTGATGTTACTTGGGTTTCTTAACTATGGTTCACCACAATTCATGTTTCTATCAAAGTACATTGGAGTTACACTCCTATAATCACTTATATGCAACAAAAGTATTTATATCTCTCTTCAAATGAGATTCGCTAAATTTAAAGTACAGTCAAATGTGTATATATGCTGTTGGATATCGCATTTCCCTGTAAGAAACAAGAGGTTTATTATGTCATTATTTATTGTAAGTTGTCTCCTCTATAGGCAGGAATTAAGATATTTTTCAAGTACAAAATGAAGTACATTTATCATATCGTTGCAGATTCCTCGTCAAATTATTTTTGTGCAATTAATTATGTATTTAATTATTTTTCAGTGTTCTGTTCAATTTTTGTTCTCTCACATGAAATAAATGAATCTTTTACAAAACCACTGCTCTTTCTAGCATTTCTCGGACAGAGATGGGGCCACAGAGCGATACTGTCTTGAGAGCCACTTGGCCTCCATTAGGTATCAGCCATTTGTCCACATTAATTTAAAATAAATTGTACTCTATTTAGATAGTTTTTCAATAATAAAATGTGGGAGTGAACTCTGTATAACGCAAAATTAGGCCATTTTATTGAAACAGGCACTAGCTAAAGTGACGTTCAAGAAAAAACCATATTTTATCAAATCTTCAACAAAGTGATAAAGTAGAATTTAGACTAGAGGACGCATTGGAGTTTTGTGCAGGAAATCCCCATGGACCACCAAAGGCGTTTGTCCCTGCTCCAGGCCAGGCAACTGATTTCTATCATGTTCCTTAATGTATCCTGAAGAAATCTGGCCAAATGGCCCAACCATATGGTTAGTTACACAATTTCATAGATATGTGTCCGGCAATAGGTGTCATGGCAAAACCTATTTGCATGATGATTATGCGATAAGTATTGGGATAAAGTTGACGCAAATACTAGCCGGAAATTAAACTTGTCTCGGGAAGTATGAACTGCCACAGATTAGAACATTCCTGTATCATTTACAAACACTTTTCATCACCTACAGTCCTACAACATCAGTGTAGACTATCTGAAAAAAAAAAACGAATATCTTGTCAGAAACTGCCCTCGACTTGACCCATCCACAGCGGACATTAATACAAACAGTTCACAATCAAGTATACGTTGATATAATTTGACATCAAAAATGGTACCCTGAAAAAATGTTGACAAATAATGCAGGAAAAACAAGCAACAAAGAAGACTGGTGAAATACAATTTTCTACTTTCCGTGCTCCCAATAAATTTTAATTATGGCAGTGATATACAAAAAAGTTCCATAATCCAACATTACATATAAATTTTTTCTTATATGGTTTTTGTTCATATATCAAACGATCATACATTACGTTCCTTTGAACCATAATACTGGCATTGCAACTATTCTGGCATGTTCATTCTTGCGTATCTGGTTTTCGTATCGTAACATTTAAATTGCACAAGCTAACGACGTGCATCGCTACGTTCGCTTGTTCAATCTTTGTACTGCCCACTTGTACCGTTAAGTTCACACTAGTTTCAATTACAAATTAAATAAGTTGATTATGATGTTAAATTCGAAATTTTTAACGTTTTGAGCCTCACTTAAAAATCTTTCCAGACCACTGCTCTAAAACAATGCACAGTGATTTGAAAGAGCTTTTACTTGAGGTGCGACATAATACTATTTTTGAGAGTTAAAAACCAACATGTGTTTTAACTTAAGAGTGAGTGCAAGCATTATAGTACTGCATGTTGAGTATATAGGTAAGAAATAATTAACAACTACACTTGTGTCATGGACATTCAAACACCTTACGTACATAAAGAAAAGGAGTAAGTATTCGCAAATGCTGTTTAATATTATATGAGGAAGTATAGTTATAAAATAATAAAAAAGAAATATGATTGAATTGTATGAAAAACAATGTTAAAAACAGCAAGTAAACTTCATATGATTAGAAAAATAACGATAGTGCCTAAATTACAATCAGAATACGAATACATGTTCAATGGGAAGGAAAGCCGAGGCTGTTTATCAAGCAAGGTAGAAATATAAAACCATCAGCCAGGCCGTCAAAACACCAGGGTATTCCCCAATTCAAGTCTACTACTTGAAGCAAAATGCCCCTTCTGAAGAAGTTAAGGTTGTATTGATGGTGACATAATCTTTCATCTGTTTATTTTGAAATTTAATTTTTGTCAAATGAATGAAATGTGTCAGGTGTATGAAAAATCATAAAGTGAAAATTGGCAAGAGGTTGGGGCTATTATCAACAACTGTGAAATGGAACCACTTGGACATTCCTTCACTCCTGAGGTAATTTGATAGGTTTTAATATACGTTGAGCATTATCTAAAATGGTTACATTAGTCAACCTGCCTCTGACACAGGGGCCACCCCTATGGGTCGCGTCTGGTTCACTGTTGGATGCTGTTTTTATTCGTATGGTTGTGGTTGTTAGATTGTAGAGATGTTATTAGAACATTGGCCGTTTTTTGTGTCACTTTTCTGCGGACTGGTAGTTACCACTTAGCACGATCGTGCTATCACTTGAAATCACCAACTCGTTTCCTTTATTAAATTCTTAGACATCCATAGTAGAGATTCAAAACAGGAAAGATGTCTGACGCTCCGCTTATCATAAGAAAACTTTAAGCTCAATTGTCTCAACCTGGCAGATGGTCGTCCAATATCAACAGTTATATTGGTGTAGATTGAAGTCTTGTTGTTTGAAAGTACAGAATACCTGATAGGTAGGATAATAATTCGGTTAAACAAGCAAAAGTGAGAACTGCCAAGGTTCTTGACAGTGGTTTGACCAACAGCAGATTATGTAGCTCTAATAACGCTTTGAAAGACCATTAAATGAAGCTTATATTTGAGATAATTTGTGTTAGGAAATGCTTTTTTGATAAATTGAATAAATTATTCAATATTTATTTTATCGTTATACACTTCAACACACAGCCTCATTGGTGTGAAATATATCAGATGTTGCAAAAACACAGCGTCTCATACATTATTATTCAAACAAACTTGGCACAGGTGATAAACTTATTACAATTTTTGGCACAGCCATTATTTTATAAATAGAAATCATATATGCATAAAAACTGATCACTATATTATAATTTAATTTTTCTTTTTTAAAAACTTTGCTCAAAGCTAATTCACATTGACTACTGTCTCTATGAGCAAGTTATAAGTGAAATTATACAGAACTATGATTATACTGGCGAATTAGGTAGTGGCTATGAGGTGACAGAACTCGAGGTTTGGGGGAAAAAATATTATAGTAAAGCAGTGGTTCTCAAACTTTTTATTAGGTTGTGCCACCTTTTTATAATTTGTCAACAAGACTCCCCAACACAAAAATACCTACGGTAGTTAACACTAAGCTACAAATAACAGATAGTAGGACGAGCACAAGCACAATAGCTTCCTGCAATCTCTGAACAATGAAGAAACCAAAATAAAGCGGGAAAGATCAAATCTAACAAATATTTTTGGCTATAAACAGTACATGCAACCCCTCGTCAACTAAGACATCTTGGCCATACATACTGTAATTCTTACCATTCACACAATTTGATAGGGTAATATTTATGTTCAATGCAGAAATGTAGTCTACCTTAAGCTGTTCAATCCTTCATTATTCTGCCTATCCAATGCATGTTTTATCAGTAACCGACGGAGTATATTTTTTTCATTTCTTCTCTCTCTGTCATGTTGCATCATTTGAAATGAACAAGATCTGCTGGAGTCATCATAGACTCTGTAACCTGCAAATATAAATTATATCAGAATATCGAGATTTGAGAATAAACATAAAATTAGATACTAGAAAAACTAGCTCCTGCCACGAACGTACCGCGACGTCTCTTGCCGTGGTTTTATGGCGCTATTACCAGTATATTTACAAAGTCATATACAATATTTTAGTTTATCATGCGGAATTATATCTACTTAAACCTAAACCTAACCCCAAATACATCAAAACTGTATTCATAAGAAAAGTGTTCCAACTTACCAAATATTTATTACTATCAGGGGCAGCTCTGCTATTTCAGCCGACATGCCGTGGTTACGGCAGCAAAGTTGGTGGTATTCGATTTGCTGCCGTAACGACGGCAGCTTGCTATTGGTTTGTGGCAGCTAAAAAGTCAGTCGCCGTGGGTTTGGTCATAGCGGCCATGGTTTGGAAATCTCACCATGGTTTTGCGACAGCTCTAGACGCCACAAAATACTTGAAACTGCACTTGTAACGGTAATTGTGCTATTTTTGTAAATTCACGTCATGACTAGCTAATCAATAATGACTCTCGATACTCTATACAACGTCACATTTCCTGGCAAACATGGCATTGATTCGAAACAAAAAAACAACTTCTATCTTAATCTAAGAGAACCCTTTTTCCAAGTTCTCAACAATAAATCATCATCTTCAGAACCCCAACCCCAATACAAATTTGAAAATCCATTCACAGATGTAAATTGTTTTTCGGTGAACATTGAGATGCCTCCAAATACTTTCACTGACATGTTTTTATCTGAAATCATACAATATTATATATCAACATGAGCTCAGATTAGAACACAAAAGAATATACATGTTTCCCATTCTGAAAATCCTCAAGTTCACAATAAAGTAAATTGTAAAGCTAGGATAGGATTTACATATTTATCCTGGGGGAGAGGGGATGGCTCAATCATATGGCGAACCATGGCCCCTGGTACTGTTACCAGTCCGTCGAGTCGAGTATGGAATTTGTTAGCCATTGATTTTGTTTTCAGATACATGGACTTGGTGGAGAAAGCCGAATAAACCAGCGGATACGGAACCATCCTACAGCAACGAGGAGTCCAGCAATCCTCTCGACCACAATTATCCCCAGATGGGATTCATAACCACGCAGGATAATCAGAGGTGCGGTGGCGAGTGCATTCCTCACGCTTAGCACGACTAGATTATAACATTTTTCTATACGACACTTATTCACACTTTTAGACCTGAACAAGGCCATCTATAATCCATGACACTCTGGGTGAGGTGATGGTCAAAAAAAATTGAATTGAATTTTAATCAACTAAGGGTTGAAAATCGGTGAGTAAACCTGTGATTTCAGATTACGTTGATGGATTAATTATCTATTAGGTTTTTTGGAGACTGACTGCCGGTTTCACACCACAAAATCTAATGAGTCAGTCTCCAAACAAAGCTCCCATCAATTTTCAACTTTATTTATCAATGAAAACAATTACTTACGCGCATTTGATACACAGAATTCAAGATTGTAAGAATGGATCTCGTAATCACGTTTGTCAAGATATGTTGATAAATGTCTCGGTCCATCTTCATCATTTGGACACCAGTATAAACATTTATCATTCTCAAGTAAGAGGTCAACATCATGAAATACAAAACAATCATATTTTCTCTCTGAAAAAGTTTGATTACAATTGCTCAGTTAGAATCTTGTCTTGTTTCTAAACTAAGTTATAATCTAGCTGCCGTTAATTATTCAACCTTTCCATTTCGATATAAGGACTTTTGTTGGCCCGATATTTATCGATAGAAAAAAATGATCCCAAGTAGGGATTAAAGCACTTTTCTTTATTATGATTATCAGTAAATCTCTAAAATTAAAATCTCATACACCAGTCTCATATACAGCTAGCTGAATTATTAAAACATTTCAAATTCACTCAGATGTCTGGATAGCAAAGAAATAGGATCATTAATATTGATACAAGGGAGATGGATATAAGATGATTAATTATGCTATAAACTACAGCCCATCATATGGTCACGTCAGATATGGTGATGTCTACCAAGGTAATCCTTGCATGGATAGTGAAGTAAGCCATGATTAGGATGTGCAATGGCTTACAAATGAATGTATTGGCGTAAATGGTAGCTAATTTGCTACTATGGAAGGGGGAAATTTTTTATCAACATGAGAATAATCAAAGAAAAGAAGAGATAATCAAACAAGAATTTTGACAAACCATTAACTGCTTCTGAAAATCCAATATTCATCAGCTTAGCTCTATTAAATAGTTGATTACCCGCCTGGGTGATTGTATATATTGTATAATCCAATTGTTGCCTTTGCAATATTGGATGCATATGAGCTAGAAGACTTCTGAGCTGTAGAACTCTTCCACGCAGAGGTATAATAATTGCCACTTTGTGTCGAGCTTTGCAGTTGTTCGCCATATTTCTAGATGCATAATAGACATTACAATTATAACAGTCAACTAGGCAAATATAATATTGATCCTTAGACCAGTGGTTCCCAACCGCCGGTCCGTGGACCGGTGCCGGTCCGCGAAGCTCTTTTGGCAGTCCGCGAGAAATTTTGTTGTTTTGATTTTTTTATGACGTCTCAATCGCTTTACCGTAGACAAAGTTGCGTTGGCTCATTACGCAATTCTCATCCGCCGTCATATTGCGACGTCTCTCGCGACATCTTGACGCCGTCTTTCGCGACATCTTGCAGCAAAATTCTCAGAAGAGTTAATTGTGTTTGTACATGATTTGGCATGTACCTGGTTTAATGTGAGATATTTTATGCGGGCCTTCCTTACGCATAATGGGTGCCCAGCACTGCATTTCATTATGTAAATATATGGTATTATTTTATGTTTCACCCATTTTTAATTTTTGGTCGGCACATTATTTGATAGTTTTCCTCCGTGTAAAATGTTTTTAAGTGTGCTTTTTTTGTCTAGAAGCATATTGAGTACCCGACATTGCATTATATTACGCAAATATATGTTATTCTTTTCTGTTCCATTTTAATTTTTTTGCCGGTCCGCGAGTACATTTAATCTAATTTTACCGGTCCGCCAGGGTAGAAAGGTTGGGAACCACTGCCTTAGACAACTGAGAATTTGCTAGTGGTACAAGCAGTTTACAACACAACCTAAGACTTGAAGTTGAAAAACAATTACAGTAGACTTCGACTATAAAAGCTCCAACTAAAAAATTTTGATAAAAGTTTGGCATATATGAATAACTCTTTGATAAACAGTTGGAATGCTTAGTCAACTTAACATTTTAAGTTTCTGCAGAAACTTTTGACTTCAATTGTCACCATTGAAATTCTGGCTGAGGGGGTAATCAAAATTGGGACTCCCAACTCCTGTGATTATGAAAATACTATTTCAAATCCAATGAAAACATGCCAAAATCAGAGCCCACATCCCAGAGTGTGCATAATATTGTGGGGAAATGATCCTAAATCTTTCACAAGAAACAAAAGCAAAAATTTCAGACAAGCAGAATCAGTTATAAAAATGATTTACCTCTTCATTTGGTATTTTGTCTCCAATTCTTTCAATGATGGAGGCAATTCTCGGACGTAATCAGGCATTTCAAGATTCCCTTGTAGATCTGGAGGGTAATTTGGACAAGTTTCTATTAATATTGATTGATTTGAGACAACATGACTACAGTTCATGCATTTGACTGATTGTTCATTGTTTTTCAATGCCAATCGTGAATTCTTCATGTCGTGATAAATCGATGTTTCTATTGAGAGGTCCATTGTTTCCTGATCATAATTCCATGTAAAATGTATAGAAAATATTACAAAAATAATTGATGCTGATACAGTCACTTCAATTAGCACCAATCGATATCGAAATAGTTTCATTATTTACAAATTTAACGCTAAAATACAAATATAACGTATGCCAAGTAAGTAAATGAAGATACTGCAGTACTGTGTATTCAAACAGTCAAAGCTATGAACTTGAGCTCGGCTACAGACAGACAATCCTATCTCAGTATCCACAGATCTACTAGCAGACTAGTGCAGTCAGCCAGTGTCTATAGCGATGTTCTTGAACTTTTTTTATCGTGGTATACCTTCCCCAAATTTTCAAGAATTTTGTATACCTTATAAAATACTAATGTTTATTTATGGCTTGAATAAACAATAAATTTTAAGACCATATTGTACTGCAATATCACCATGCAATCTAATAAGCTAGTGTCTGCAAGTTATAAATTTGACTGACGGGCTTAGCGTTAATGGGAAAATTGTTCAACGTAGATTAAAGTGATCAAACAAAGTGCATAGCAGCCGAAATCACACATGTGACCACATTATTTATATAGACTAATTTGTTATGTAACAATGTGCACCATTTCTGCCTATCAGCATATGATTGCATTTTACAGTTTTAGGATATACGGTAGCCTAATAATGTATTACCAGACTACACGGATAGCATACCGTACAAAGTTACAAAAGAGGACTTGCACGGGTCACGTGACTTTGTTCACTCGACGGCAAAAAAAACAAAAACGTCCAGCTGGCTCCTGTCAGTTGCAAGTCGGATTATACGTCATGCTTCGCTCGAGTCGAAGTCGTTTCTGTTTTTCTTGTATCTATTCGTCTTTCTCGAACACCTCTCTCTTATCTTGTACCGCACATTCGACTACGTTTGCGTTATTTTATCGAAAGAAGATGATCGATAAAAGTGGGACAGGATTATAACTCGCAATTACAGTAAAAACGTAGCGACCCTCACCAAGAATAAGGGCTACTTAAAATTTGTAATCCGTCTTCATTTCGAATATATATTTATAGTTGGTAATTAATGGTCGTCTGAAACACGGTTATTCGCGAACATGACTATGTGTGCGTTTATGAGGCGCATGCATATGCGTGAGAATGTTATGGGTAAAAATGTCCGTGAATGCAGATGTGCATGGTTGCAAATGTCCATTAATGGAAATGAACATGGCAGCAAATGTACGTGTGTGCGCATGCATATACGTGAGAATGTAATGGGTAAAAATGTCCGTGAATGCAGATGTGCATGGTTGCAAATGTCCATTAATGGAAATGAACATGGCAGCAAATGTACGTGTGTGCAAATGTACATGGATGCAAATGTCTGTGTGTGCAACGTGCAAATGTACGTGGGTGCAAATGTCTGTAGGTGCAAATGTCCAGGGTGCAAATGTCCGTGGGTGCAAATGTACCTGTGTGCAAAAAACGTCCCTGAGTGCAAATGTTCGTGGGTGCAAATGTACATGGGTGCAGACGTCCGCGGTTTCAATCTATATACGGGTGCAAAAATCGACGGGTGCAAATCTATGGGGACAATTGTTCATGGGTTTAAATGTTCGTGGGTGCAAAAGTACGCAGGTGCAATTATCCTGAGTGCAAATTACGGGTTCAAAGATAATGGAACCCGCCATGGCACATTTAATTACAAAACAAACACAATAACCAAAATTTAGTAAAGCTGCCAAAACTTCAAATGAGGTATGGGACATAAATGGGTACTCCCTTAGTATGTGTGTGTACCAGGTTAGGATTGGCCATTATTTCATTCCGATTTTTCTTATTTTAATTCTATTACAAGTTCAGCGACTGTTTGTGTTAGCCAATGAGCATATATACATATGCTCATTGTGTTAGCAAAGTGAATATACATACCCCTGCCTATATGTTTCAGTCCCCTTGCACAACTTATGTAAAGCCTGAAACGCCGTCATTCTCAGAAAAAATGAGTCTAATTAAAAGTTACGTAACTTCTGTTTCGTTTCAATTATTATTTTAGCGTCAAATTAAAAAATAATGTCCGAACAACGTCTATCGGTTCGATAATCGTATCATTAACTAAATTTGGTAACATAGCTGTAATTGGCTATATGACGTTAGTATATTTTCGCCATGTGTGTTTGTTTCAATTTAAAAGTATTTGATATATATACTATGGCGTTATTTATTGTAGGGAACAAAAATAGTATAACAATAGATAAATGTGTATTACGAGGTATTATATGAGTATTAATTATAATTACCTATTCTTACAAATAAATTTATGTACGTTTTTTGACCCAGAAATTACCAATATCAGATTTATAAATAAAACATAACAGGTACTTGGCCTTTCGGCTTATGTACATGCATTATTACAACGCTACCAAATTTGATCACGGATTACCGCAAGAGACGACGATCGATATGTATTCATTTGGATCAGTGCTCGTCTTGTCAATACAATCGGACAACTCCACACTAACGTCAAATACCCCCCAAACATTGTTCTTCTATCAGCATTGAATAAACAATCAGAAGTCTAGAGCAGCGTTTCCCAAAATTTTTCGGCCACGGAACACTTGCGCTTTTTATCTCGTCTCGCGGAACACAAAAAAATTAAAGGTTACAATTGATAAAGAAAAACGGTGTAATGTAGCGGTTCCGAATGGGTTCGCCGTGGCGAGTTGACACATGCGCCGCGCAAATTAACAGATTTGTGTTAAACATACCTAAAATATGATAAACTATTTTACATCACGCATTTATTATATAAATAGTTCTTATATTATTATAAATGTTTCCTAATTTAATGTGTGTATATCAATCAATAAATTCATTTTACCTTTCTATGTCGTTTACTTTCCATTACTCGGTGTTTGCCTCTAATGTTATTTCTAATGGAAATAGAAGTAGGCTACTTGCTGCAATTTCGCGAACAGCAGACCTGCAGTTTATGCATCTGCTGAGTTTAGCAAACATGAGTAATTTTTTAGCATTTTAAAGTAAAACCAGGCAGAGATGGGGGACGAAGTGTTGACCGTTTGTCTTTATTCTTCATCCCTACTTGTTTGCCTCTAGCAAAACTAAAACGATTACTGTAAATTTGATAATGAACTTAACAGTAAAAAAGCTAGACGGGCGGTTGACGAAAATGCCGTTATCCTGCCTTAGTCCGCTTTAGGACGACGGTGACAAGATATTGAACGGTCAGTTGGGCGACAACTTCGCGATTCCCAGGGCGGCCAATTTAAACGCATGTTTGACTTCTTCGCCACAGAACACTCGAAAACGCTCGCGGAACACTAGTGTTTTGCGGAACACAGTTTGGGAAATGCTGGTCTACTCTAGAGTAATGGAACCTCAGCAAGATGTTTATTAAACTCAAGAAATTTGAAATGTCGGCCCTCTCTAACATGCCTACAGATAACAGCATTGATTGCAAAAACAGCTAGATATTAGAAATTATATAAAATATTATTTATCAAACGTTACCACATAAGCAAAGAGAAGAATTCGATAAATGATAACGAACCTACACGCCTTATAGAAATCGTTGTTCAGGTAGTCTCCATGTCTGTCGGAACTTGCGCTTATTCACTTACATCTATTATCATGTTATTGTGTTTTTAGATTAGATTTTCACGCCTTGACAATTTGTTCCCCTCTCTCTGCCTTATATATATATATGCCAGTGTCTTTCCATGTCATGCTATACCAGAGTTTTTCTGAACAGAAATTCGATACGTCGACAAGTTATATACCCTTTTGCTAATATCAGTTGTGCTTTATTTATGCTCGTGATGAATATACTTGGTGGCAATCATGCGCTATATTAGATATATGAAGTCGCATAACATGTTCCCAGAGTCCGCGTTATTACTTATCGATTTTTTTTAAGGTATTTGTCTGTCTGTATGTATGTCTGTTAGATGCACGCGATATCTCAGGAAAGTGAGATTGAATCTGCTCCAGATTTTGCATGTGCATTGATCTTATCTCGGACCAGAAGCCTATTGGGCGAATTATGTCGTATAATTAGCGAGTTCTTCATTAATTAGTGATGGGACACAATGTGTCACTATGGAGTAAAAGCGCTGTTTTGGGGGAGTCCCCTAACTTTCGATCAATAAGTCTTCGATCTCTGACCGATATTCTCGTAATATAAGATTGGTAATATTGAGGTTGTAAAATTAGTAGAATAAATAGAATAAGAAAACCGGAAAGAAGTGACTGGAAGCATCTAGCGCCTATCAACAGCCTAAACTTAAAATAAATTAAATGTTATCAAATACTCGACATCAAGCAACGGCTGTTAATGTTTTTAGACAAGTATTCTTTGGCTAATTAAAACGGCGAGTGCCCCTCTACTTTATCTTTTGTTTTCTCATTTTTATCACTACATCAAAACCAATTGCATCTTATTGAAATGCGTGTCGACGATCCATAACTTGCAAGAGAAAGATGAAAATGTTTTAGTGCTATAAACTTAACACAACAATATTTATGCCTTTCATGTTATGGCAATGGCCAACGTTGCAAAATGCTAAAATTTCATTTAATATTTAGATATCCTGCATTATGGAGCATTCTATAGAAATAATAGGAACCATCAAAGGCGTATCTTCTTGCTTCATCTGTAATGAAAATTATTCATCGGGGCCAAGTTTGGAAAAGCACATGTTTTCGCACATTCACGCTGGGAATTCTTGTAGAAATGGAGATTTAAATTATTGTCCAACTATAAACATTGTGGAAACAAGTCAGCACACCAACTCTAATGAGCATTGTGGAAAAGTTATTACAAATAAAACTTCTTTACACAGGGCTGGCGAATGGAAAACTGATGTCCATGCAAAATGTACAAAAAGTTGGTTGATTGATCAAAATGACCCAGTACATAAATGCGAGCAACTTAACATAACCTCTGTACCAGACGGGCAATCACAAACCAAGTCACTCGTTCATATCGACTATGGTAATAAACCATATGTTTGCAAACAATGTGGGAAAAAATTGAAAAACAAGCAAAATATGACTATACACATGAGAATTCACACCGGAGAAAAACCTTATGTTTGTAAACATTGCGGTAAGGGTTTTTCGCAATCATCTCATTTACATAAACATGAGCGAACTCACACCGGAGAGGAA